ATTTAAATTTAAAAAGCAAATAGCTTATTTTTGTAATCAAATACAAGTGATTAACTGAAACTTGTTAAACCTTATACAAGGAATTTTTAGTCAAAATTCAAATTAGAAGGTAATATCAAATACAAATTCAAAATGTAATTCTTTTTTATTTTTATTATTCCCGAAAACTCAATGACAATTTTTTTTTACATCATTAAATACCGTAAAAACTATTGAAACATTGCACTGCTGTTAGGTGCTCAACTTATCATTTTCTAATTTTTCTAATTGTCAATTCTTAGTGAAATGTTTAAAATATTTAGTCAAATAAGCAGAACGCTTTAAGACAGATACAGATGGAATTTTCCCTGCAGCAGTTAATTAAAATAAATAAATAAATGAATACCCCCGAAAGAAAAAACATAGATTATAGTTTATTTTATTAGTAAATTATACAAAAAACATCACGCCTATTTATCTTTAATATTAATATATTTACAATACTAAGTAAATAAAAAATGTTGGTAATATAATAACAATTACAACAAAATGAGAGAATCGTTCAATGAGAATTCCTTGATTTACGGTGGACATACCTAGATCAACATAGTACATATATTTTTTTTATTATATTAGAAATAAGCTTAGGCAGCGATGGCCATCAGCTGATATTTGACACCATTAATTTTTTTTTTTTAATATAATATTAGTTCACAACAATATACCGATATGGCTGCTTCGATATTTCTACATACTGGTACGTGAGATGTATACTATTTCTTTAAGTATTTGATAATTATGTTAGATTAATACGACCTTTGCACTTTTTTTTTATATTGGTCACATTTCTACATAGATTTTTCTTCGATTCCAAATTTTTAAAAATTGTACATAATATAAATAAGGTTATAAATTAATTGATTTTTGCCTTTTTCACTCTTTATAAATGTATGCCATTATCGTAGAAAAAAAACACAGTCGACACACACAATATTGCACCTGCATGCATTAATCTTTGGACTAACAAATACATAAGTATCGATACCAATTCACAGCGATCCTTAATAATGATTTATTTTTGACAAACCGTATTGTAGAAGTTAGCTTAGATTATTAATATTATGTAAGTATAATAGTACTTTAAATCAATAGTTGGAATTTTAAAACCAGTTTATTAATACGTCATAGAAATAAATTCATCTGATAAAATAATATACAAGTTCATAAGTAAGTAAGCTCGCATTTATTACAATAAAGCTATATATTGTATATAGTCACTAATAGCTTTTTTTTTCGTTATAACCGACGACGCCGCAGGATCAGCTTTCGCATTGCTTCCGCGGCGCTGCCATCGTTTAATAGTCACTAATACCTATATCTACATATATTTATTATTTATATATGTAGAAGATACCTAGGTACTAGAAAAACCTTACATATTATGTAAATATTATTTATAACATACGAATTTTTATTTCAAATTATTTATGTTCCTATGACAAATTAATTAAATCATAATATTATACTTCATTGATATTCTATTTTTTTAATTTTATTAAATTTTATTTCTATTTTATTTTTACTTAATTACATAGGTAATATAACATAATATCATTGGTATTTATTTATTTACTTTTATATTTGCTGATCCAGAGCGACTGGCAATGATAATATAATATAATACCCGTATAGGAAATACGCTTATATAATATAGCAGCTTAATAATCATTACCGATCGGTGTAATGTAAGTCAGTGGCATCGTCTGAGTGAAAACTTAGTGCCTATTCTATAAATTATATAATACCTATATATTATTTACACTGTGGGGCAAATAATAAGTGTCCATTATGAATAGAATAATACCTACAAAAAAAGATCATTGGAGAAAGGGTGAATGAGCCCCCCCCTTCGCTATCCCCTAGGATACCTCTGAATAGCATCACTGGTATTATATTATTGTAGTTGACAACGGTATAATTGGGTAAAATGCGAATCGATTTGCATACCTGACCCAATGCGCGTGACATAGGTACCTATTAGACTTATCAGTGTATCCATAATGAAACCAATACTTGTATTTAATTTTAATTTATGCATGACTATTAATAATTGTTATATATTAATATAATATACATATTATATAACCCGATATCGATAGGTACAGCTTGATCACGGATAATAGATATATATATCTATTATCCGTGCAGCTTGATAACATCGACATGGCACTTCATTCAATAAAGTGCAATTAAAATATTACAAAAAAATGCGTTTAGTCTCAGATTCTCAACTGTATAGATACAGTAGGTGAATATGTATTGTGTCTACATCAGTGTAGTGTAAAATTCAGTGGGTGGATTGGCCCACCGGGAGGGGAGCAACTATTTTGTTAAAAAGGGGCCGATGAAGTTCCTGATACTGAAAATACTGCTATCGTACTCGCAAAAAAATATTTAAGTTAATAAATACAGCTTAACAAATCGAACCTATCGTTGTGTATATGATCGTTAAAATTCTGTAAACCATCATACAACACAAATAAGTACCAAAGCCCAAAGGCCCAAGTAAACAAAACAGTCATAATAAATTTAAAAAAAAAAAGAAGATTTTTAGAAAATAATGTATATCATATTGTATATTTGTGTCGTTATCATTTTCAAATTGTTCTTTCTTTTAATTGGCATGATGCGTTTTTGATTTCATATTATTTGGAGCATTTTGATTAGAAAAAATCAAATTCCGGACAATTAGCGCATATTAGTTATAAAAGTATTTATAGTTTATAGATGAGTGGAGTAGTGGACCGACATTTTGCAGAGTACCTACCCCTGTACCTACCCCTAAACTCTGATCATTTATATATATCAAAGTATTCCAAAAAATAGAAGAATAAATTAAAAATGCATGATGTCAAAAAAGCTAAACATTTTTATTTAAATAACGACAAAAAATAGTTTAAAAATTCTGTTTTTTAACTACTTAAAATTATATATTTATATGTAAGTATAGAATACTTTCAAGAACGTTAATAGTTTTTGAAATAATGAGACTTGCCTATGTTATAAACGGATCATCCGGTGCGGTGTAGGTGCATATATATTATACTGTATATACGACTATACTATATGTAGTATATACCTACCGCTAGCTCTCGAAAGTATGTAATAAGTATAGTTACCTATATATGTATTAACAGTATATATTCGTTCACATATATTATATACTGAATCTATAGCACTATATCTATTGCACTTGTGTTCGAGACACCGTATACATTATTATAATTTGCCAATCACTGCCAAGTATACAGTTATACCTTATACACCCACTAAATACACTGCAGAATATTACATTTTACTAATTTTAGGTATATAATATTATAGCTTACCATCATGACGTCAGCGTACAATATCGTCGCAGCAGCGCTAAAAGGGGGAAGTATAATATGTATTGTACATAGGGTAGGTACATATTGTATAATACTATAATATATATATATATATATATAATCAGATATTTCAGCCGGCGTGGTGCTATTTTAGTGACGAATATTAGCATTAGGTATACATATATATATATTACATAGGTATATAATATTCGATGTATAGGTATATATACATACTTCGGAAGGGGAAACAATAAGACGTTGTATGGCCCGGCGAAACGTTGATAGGGGCGGGGGAAGGAGGATGAGAAAATATTTTTAACGTAATCCTTAACCTCGCTCCCTTTTTTCCATCGCGTGCTGCTCGTGTATACATGTATATGGTGCGTATACCCTTGTATATATACACTATATACGATACATACATACATACATACATACATATATATATATATATATATATATATGTATATGTATGTAAGTATATAATATATCTGACGGGTGAATTATTGATGTGATATATTATAGGAAAAGTGAATCGGCCGCGTGTGTGCGAGCGTCGGAGGAATATTAATAATTTAAAACGACCGCTCTTGCGCAGGGAAAAATACGTAATAATACGAACGGTGCAGTAATATAACAACACAGTCGTATAGTACAGGATAGGCAAGTAGGTACATAATATAGATAGGATTGCCTATCGGGCAAGGGAGGAAAAATGAATAGCTAATATATATGGGCATATATAGTTATGGAAGTCATATTTTCGGAAAATTGCTTATATTCGAGCCACGGACACAATTTGAGGGCGGAACTCGCAGGACGTGCTGAGCTGCACCCTCAGTTCTGAAATGAGCACCATAATAATTGATGTTCTCGGTGGTTTCATTAACAGTACCTATATTGTATAACAACTAATACCGTTCTTATATTATTAGGCGTATATATAAATCATAATAAATAGGTACAAAATATAGTCTTTGTTAAATTCGTGTAATGGAGGGTATGTAGTAGGGGTAAAATTGTTCACCACATGATCACTAGACTAAGTGGAAAAATAGAGGACGAGTACCCTAAAACCAGCACCCCCCTATAGTTTGTCATTTGAACACCTTCCGATACGTATACATAGGTACACCACTAGTAAGTATATACACCTAAAATTTTGGGTATATAGTACTGCACATAGCGTACAATTTTTTCGACCACGTAAGTCCAAGTTCGTCGCTGTGACCGCGAGTCTTGTCGCGGGACGGCTGTGGCGGACGGTGTCGCGCGCGCGATCCGCGTCCGCGTGGCGCGGCAGCGTCGGCCGGTGTGCGAGTACCGACACGCCGCCGGTGGACGAAGGCCAGCGGCGTCGGCGGCCAGCGATTGGCCGGCAGGCGGAGTCACCAACGCCTGGGCACTGCCGGCCGGTGGGCGTGGTCGCGGCCGCGTGGACGTGGCCAAACGCTGACGCACACACGTGCAGCCGCCTACGCACACACCGGCACCGGACACGGCCGGACGGCGGTAGTGCACGGCGGGCCGCGTGGGGCGTGCACTGACGCGCCTGCGCGCCCACGTACGCGCACGCACGCGACCACGGCACACTGTCCGCGGGAACGTTTCGGTGGCGATGCGTTTAGAGTATCGCGCGCACTCCCACCGGGACGACCATAGTCGCTGTGTGCACTCGGGCCGAGAATTTATTTTTATTGCATTTCCTCGACGTTTCCTTGCAAGACGTCCCTTACGCGTCACACAACGGTATACTATTATTATGTCACAGTACAACCGCGCCTGATCGCCACTGCACCGCCGGGAATAACACTTTCGTCTTTGTCAAAGATTAATTAATTTTTTTTTTTCCGTTTACTCTGTTTCCGCGAGAGACGCCGGTCGTCCGACTAACGTCCACGTTTCGTACGTAATATAATACAATATATTTTATATTCAACACCCGTATAAAGTTATTGGCCGGACACACTTGCTGCTGCAGATCCAACGAATATTAATTCCGCATTAACATTCTCTCGTTAAACGAGCGCTCGCGGTCCGCACACACATCACCCGATCGTACATATCGCGCACACACGTTGACGGACACGTATAGGACGGCGGTGGGCCCGGAAGGCATCACGGTGGTGTCGACGGAAGAAGACGGACGGACGGTGGCCGGCGCCGGCTACTGGACGGGGGGCGCGACCGGCGGCGACGCTGACGCCGCGGTCGCGGCACCGTGGCAGTCAACGTTGGGCACGCTGGGCGGCGGTGGTGGCGGCGGTGGCGGCGTCGTTGTCGGCAATGTCGGTAACGGCGGCGGTGGCGGCGTCGTCGGCGGTAACGGCGGTGGCGGTGAACTGGACCCCGTGGCCGCATGGGGCCGCAAGTTGTACGCCACGCCGGGCAACCATCACCGGAACGCCACCGCGGCTGGCCTCATGTTCGGCCTGCACCACCACCATCACCAGGATACCACGACGCCCGGTGGTATATCCGGACTGCACCATCATCATCACCATCACCACCATCACCAGCTCCGGGGCCCTGTCACCGGGCTCAAAGAAGAACCTTTGGCCAACTCGCAGCTGTCCGTTCCCCGTTCGTGGATGCAACCTTCCATCATCGATCAGAGCAGGTAAGAAGGACGTTTTTACTGTTTTAATATTTTACAAAGTGCACTGCTGCACTCTTGCACTCATGTGATATACATAGTTTTAGGTATATATAGGCATGGGTACATATAGGTTACAATAGAACTTTGATAAATCAATGATTTCGGAGAAAAAAAAATCCGATCTTAAAATGTAATACATTTCCAGCGATTAAAAATATAATATCTACCTACGCATTATAATAGATACTTGGAAAAATGTTTATCTTGTTATCGAAGTTCTACACATATTGAAATTCGAGAACATAATTTGTGTGATTATTTTTCATCTGAACACGTTAGGTACACATAATAGAACATATTATAATATTATATATAGGTACTATTAATTCGTTCACGACTCGATCGTCTCAATCGTTGCGGTACTTACCCGACCTGAATAATATTCACGATCAACTGTTGGACAGTGTCGGTATTGGTCCGACATGACGTAGGTATTATATAAATATAATATATAAATTATTATAACTACGACGTTTGAATAGTATGCCTAAATAAATAATTATTATAATATTGTATTGTAGGTAGTTTTTTTTACACCTGGTATTAATAAATAAATACCGGGCTACCACAGAATACTGAGTGTACGATATACATTTATTTCTATACGTATACATTGTTAATACTAAATTATGAATTGATAAGGTACACTCGTTGACTATCTATAGTTTATTCAAGTTATTATGTTATAAATTGGTATACAATTGATTTATGAATCAAATTCATTTCATTAAATTATGTTTCGGGTTATAGATTTTAAACATTCCTATATTTTGTAATTAAATTTTAAACAATTGTATTTTCGTAAGCGTAACAGTTTATTAAAATTAAAAATACCTCATCAAAGTTAGTAAAAGAATGCAATATTATGCAAACACATTTCTAATAAACTAAATTTAAAAAAAATTAAAATATTTTATAATCTTCAAACACGTTAGATAATAATATGTCGACAGAAAAAATTATTACGACGTTTATTTTTTCCATTTGACAAGTAAAAATAAAAATTACTATTATGAAGGTCGCGTGGGTACCTAAAACTAAAACTGTTACATTATTTTTTATGAGTTACGTGAAAATGTTTCGAGTAGGTACCTATATATATGTGTATATAATAGTATTAAAAATGTTTTAATATTTAAAAGACTCATAAATTTGTTTTTTTTATATTTGTTCAAAATGTATAATACAGGTATAGTCACTCATTTTATATAGCAAATACATAAAAATAAAGTACTCCGTCTATTGAATTATTCAATTGTTAAATGTACCTACCAGCAAATATTTATTTATTTATTACTCAAATATTTATAGTTTATACTGATAATATTAATCATTAAATTTATTATGTATCTATAGATTAACGTTAAAACTCCTTTTTCAAAACTTCATTGTTTTTAATAAAATATTTTTTTTTTTTTAGTATCACCTTTATAATTAAGTAGGTATTTGCCTTTCGCAATTGAAAAATTAAGTTGTAGTATACTCGACGAAGTTCGTAATAATTCACGAAAGATAATCTCTGAAACATTTACGAGTGCTTAATTAGTTGGTTGAGTGTGATTTGTGTTTGAAGGTAAAGGGTTGAAAAATAATAAAAATAAAATTACGTATAATGATTGTTTAAAAAGAACGAAAAAATATATTTATCAACCTATTTATTTATAGGCTTTTCTCGAATCGTATACAATAACAATAAGTATTGGATTACGAATTTATGTGAGCATATTATATATACTACCTAGTTTAAGTAATGTCGCTGCCGGCGCCTCTTAACTTCACGCCATCCAGTTTTTTGTTTGTTCAATTCAGCAAATTTACTTTATGTTTTTATAATTGTACGGATTGTAAATAATATATTTATTTATTTTTAATAAGAAAAAAATGGTTTATACTGCAGACTGCTGTCGAGAGTGGTTAAAAGGAGTGTAAAAGAGGGAAATAGAAAAAAAAAAAAAAGAAAGTAACTTGATGAAAACAGAGATGGAAAAAAGTGACTCAAATCTGTCATAACGAGCAAAAAGACCACCTATAGGTACAATATTGATTATGTAAACAAGACAGCATATCTCATAGGGTTTTGAATAAATTCTCCGGGGACTGTTCATACATAAAAGTATATAAAGGTAGGTATAAGGAAGCTTATGTATATTATGTATTTTATTTGCTTTTATAGGTAGGTATATAATATTTCAAACCCGTTACAATCGGATGACTGTATTTGTTTCATTTTCTGTCTCAATGTTCGCCTATTATCGCCGTGATTCTGATCAAAACAGTACTTATGGCGTGAAAAAAAAATTATAAAGATATGTTGTCCATTCGTGTGTATTCGTCGGCTCTCGAATATTGCTTAGTGAATTATATAAGTATATATTATATAGATAGTGTTTTTGTTTTGAACGTTTCCACGGCGTTTAGAGTATGAAATAAAACAGCACTCCAACTCGCATTAATTTAATTTTTTTTCGTTCTTATACTACTATAGTCTCTTTTGTATATGAGTGCATTACTGCATATACTTTGGTATCTTTTATTTTTTCCAAGGTTTCCATAAAATATTTAAATACAAAATATGCACTTAAAAAGCGAAATGTTCACATTATATACGTAACTACTATAATACTGTATGATATGCAGTATGCACATATTAATTCATAAATACGTAATATATATAAAACATATGCACCTCTTTCAGTAGATTAGTATATTAGTTTATTCATATTTAAAAACCAAACCGTATACGTATTGAGCAATGTGTATACTTTAAAAACACCAACAAGAGAAACAGTACCTATCGTAAAAAATGTGGGAGTAAAATTTATTTGAAAATTAAATATTATTTTCCTACGAGGCATTTACATTTTCAAAAATATATTATTCATATAGGTGAGTGCATAATATCATACTTACGCAGTTTAACGATAGTAAGTAATAACTAATAAACGATGCGTCGAACCCTACACACAGTAGTATGGTAATACGAAAAAACAAATAAAAAAATCATATTAAGAGTTGTAGCAATAAATGTTAAAATATAATTTTCTGTTAATTATTTGATTAAATTGCATAATATCCAGAATAAATCAAACCCCTGTTCTTTCTATAAATTCTATTAAACAATTGATTTGTTTTGAAGGAGATGATTGTAAAAAAAAACGTTAGGTAGTATATAATATACAATACACGTTTCAATGAAATGTAATATTATTTCATACATCTAAGTAATACATTTGTGGGAAACAGTTTAATATAAATATTAGTTTATAGTGGAAAACTGGAAATAATTGTATTAACAATAACTACATAAATTAAATTATTATGTATTATATATGTTGTGTATACTTTATATTTTAACTGTACAAAACATAACAGCTCTACTTGAACGAATTTTAAATCATGAATACCTACGTGTATAAAAACAGGGAGTATTTAAATAAGGAGTACAAATATTTAAAACTGATATTTCCACTATAAAAAAACAAACTATTTAACTGGTATTAAATAGAATGCAACTAAATCATCCATAATACTCATGTATAATAAAATGTGTAGATAAATTATATAAAATATTTATTCCATGTGGCAAATGGTATGTACGAACGATTTTTGTTTAGATGTCTATAGGTACAGCTATACATATTATATTATATTCTCAAACAAATCGAAACCTACGATAATATTTGTGTGACTTTTACCTAATATTAAATATTTCTTTAAAAGATATATTTCCGAATCGCTTTCGACCGACAAACAATTGAAATACATAGAATATGTACCTATGCATGTACCTTGTAAAATGTATAAATGAAGGTACCTATAATATAGGTATATATATGTATTATGTATATTAGTAGTAGTACCTATATAAGTAGTATATTCGAGTTAGAATCGATATTAATGACATATTTCAATAAAATTAGGTACCTACTTGGAATAAAGTATACCTATTTTATTTTTGATTTTATTTTAAGAATTGAAAATATAACTAGGTACTAGGTATACTTATACAGCTATAAAGTTTCGTTTTTAACAGTTTGGAAATGTGAACATTTTTTCGTTGTTCGCTGGTTATCATTATATAGGTACATTATGATTAAAACGAATACAAATAAAACGAACGAAAACTTAGCTTTTATACCACTACAATATAATATTAGAATTTAATAGCATACAATAAATACCATCTAAAATTGGTGGACAATTGTTGGATGGCTGTTCGGTTTGTACAAACAAATGTAGAGCATGCAGTGAATTGGTGTCCCACTGAAAGTGCGAGAATAAACTATAAGGAAATACAATATGACGAAAAGTTATTATATTATTTAAACGCAGAAAACTGAGTTGATTTTTAATAACATTATAGTTGTGTATAAAATCCGCGATAATGAAAAACAAAAAATAATTTTGCAGTGCTCTATGTTGTATATAATATACACTTCACAACGCACGTCCGGAAACGAGCTCACATATAATAAAATATATACGTATACAGTTTCCGGTTAATGAAAAATTCACAGGACACATTTTTATCCTAAAAGAGAGTGGCGACGACTCGCTATACATGATACAATTCATACAACTTAGTATAACATCCTTAAATATACGCGCGCACATAAAGATACAATATTATGTAGGCGGTATCCACTGTATATAGGTCTTTAGGTAAGCGACAAAGTCAAGAACTCGCATAAAACTTGAGACATAAAAACATGTAAGTACGTCATCTTTCATCAAAATAATTATCTATGTATATTAAAAATAACACGTCTGCATTTAATACGAGTCATCTGTTGACTGCTGTTTGTAATAATATTTAATGTTAAATCGATTATTATGATGCATAAAGTCGATTCAGCTAAAGAATACGACAATTTTTCAAATTCCAGAACATCAGCAGAAACAACTGATTTGAAAATATTTGAAGTATAGAACTCAAAGTGCAAATAAAAAATGATAAATTC